GGAGAACAGAGCACCAAGCCGATTACACTTGTCCCAGCGCCACTGTAGCAATTTTTAAGCGGTGGGGGTCACAAGCTAGAGGCAGAGTCAGGCACACACTGGGCTGATGGGTCGTTTTTTCCCCCCGGGAGGAGCCAGATAAAAGGAAGAACAAGAGGCGGAGTTTAGTGGGGGACGTAGCGCCACCCGCTGGGCAGGGAGGAGAAAGAGCTGTCCCAGCTCTTAAAGAAAGTGCTGGGTTTATGTCTAGATTATTTCCCCCTTGCCCGGCATTGTCCGAGCCCTTCCCCACCCCAGGGCCAGCGTCAGCCCCTAGAAGTCCGACACCCCTCTCCGAGCCCGTGGCCCTGTGCCCCTAGCTGGAGACAGACGGCTCGGCTTGGCTTGGCTTCACACAGTGGGGCAAATGCTCAGGCGTGGCCTTTCGGGCCGAGCCGGAGCCAGGCTCAAGAGACGGAAGGTGAAGCGTTAATTTAAAAAAATAAAATAAAAAAATGTTCAGTACCAAAGTGAACCATTGTAGCAAAGCTGTGGCTTCTGACTGCGCCCCTGGCTCCTCTCCCCCACCGACCCCCCCCAGGCACCGTCCCGCTGGCCCCCTGAACCCGCTTCCACAGCCTGCCTAGGGCCAGGCCAAAGAAAGACCATCCCTGCAAAGGCCAGGAAGTGGCAGTGTCATGGCTTGTCTCATGGCTGCTAGTGAGTGATGGGTGCCCACCCACCAGACCCTGCCGGGATGGGGGTGTGCCCAGCTCAGAGGGGGAGTGCTGAGGGCAGAGCACCCAGTATTAAGGATGGCCAGATGCCCTGGTGAAGGCCTTCCAGCTCCCATGGGAGGGGAGGACACCCCCCCACTGTGCCTCAAGGTAGGGGCTGGACAGGTCTATGCTGCTGTGGGCCAGTGCGTCACGGTCTTGCTCCTGCCGGCGTGTGAGTAGGAAGGGTGGGGAGGCTTACAATAGAAACGCTGGCATAGCCTCACCCCTGTAGCTAAGGGCTAGCCCCCCCCCCCACACAGTGCTCCCCCCCACTGGAGGGGAAGGTGTTTTTAAAACCCAGTCAGGTAAACCACTGCCAGCCACTCACCCTGCCTTCGGCCTCACCTGGACGTGCTTAACTTGATTTCAACCTGGCCGCGCGCCGGCTGGAACGGGCTCGCGGGGGCAGGCCGCTGTGTCACTAAATTAGCACAAAATGCTTCAGCCTGCTATGTGGGAGGGTGGGTGGGGGCAGATTTTTGTTTCCAAAGGCACAAATAGGGTAACAGGGTCAAAAGCACCTAAGGCCCCGCTCTTCCATGGTACGTACGCACCTAACTCCCATTGGCTTCAGTAGGCGTTCAGCAGCTAAACACAGTTCAGGTTCTGGGGCTTAGGCAATAGAAAACAAAATCAATGGGCTTTTGAAAATGCTTCACTAGGCACGTAGGCCCAGGTGCGTAACGCCCTGCGGCTTTTAAGGTGACTTGGGCGCCTGTGAACAGCTGCCGCAAAGGTGCACTTGTTTAAATGTTTACAGCTGCAGTCTCCTGTGTGTTGCGAAGGCTTTCCCCTCGCACGATGGCCGTGACTAATAGTGTCGTGGGGCTGCCTTTTAGCTACCGGGAGGTGATTTTCCACACTCGTCTGTGGCTTTGGAGGGAATTACTGGGCATTTTGTTTTGGTTAATTTCTATTGGCTTCATTTCCTTCCCCCAGCCCCGCCATGGTTAAGCCAACTAGTTTTCTATGCGTGCGTGCGTGTGTGTGTGTGTGTGTGCGTGTGTGTGTCATTTTCATGGCATCACTCAACTTGTGTGTGAGACCACCAATAACAGCGTGTTGACTTAAAAATAAACCCACTTTATTCTGACTTTTAAATAAAAATAAAAATAAAAAAAAAACTAAAAAAGGCACCACCCAAGTTATGCATGTCTCTCTGGAGCCGTCGCTGCATGCCACACCTTGCTTTCGTCGTCTGAGACTGTATGTTGGTTAAAAATTTTAAAAGGACAAAAAAAGAAAACTTTAGATGCTGTTTTCGGGGTTTCTACAATGTCGTGTGTGTGTCTCTCTCTCTCGCATGAATTTTATTGTGAATTGTTTTAGAAAAAAAAAAATACAAAACAAAACAAAACAAAGCTGGTTGTAAAGGCCAGTTCTGGAGTCTGTATGTTTTTGTAAATCTTTTTCCGGCTTCTGTCTGTAGCGTAGGTCTATGTATAAACTATACGGATGCCATGGATAGTTCTGTGAGAAATGTGATCGTTGTAACTTGAAAAATTCCAAATGACAAAGGGTTGCTTTTTCTTTTGCCTTTCCTTTCTTATTTTCTTTTTTATCAGAGTGTCTGGCTTTAATAAAACACCTTTTTTTTTCTCTATAGCACGTCTTCCCTTTAAGATTTGTCTTTTGTTACTGCCTCTTAACCAACCACCCAACCATGGGCCTGGGGCAAGCCTTCCTCAGAGGGCCGAGATGCTGCAGTCTTTGTTACTCCCCTTCCTGTACACATACACCCCAACCTCTAGCTCCAGTTCCATTGGGGTTTTAACTGAAGCCAGTTGGCCCAGCAGGACGCTCCACGCTCAAGCCCTGCTGATATGCTGACTAGCCTTGGCAACGCAGTGGGTGAGGTACCATCTTTTACTGGCCCAACGTCTGTCGGTGAGACAGGGTTTCGCCTCTTCTTCAGGGCCGAGAAGGTGCTCGGGGTACGTCTACACTGCAGTTACACATCTGGGACTCGGACTGCGGGGCTGTAAACGTGCCGTATCGACATTCGGGCTTGGGCTGGTGCCCGCACTTTGGCCAGGGACAGTAACATTTTACTGCGCGCTTGTGTAGAACGGCAGTGTAGCCGTACTCCAGCGCAGCTAAATACACGGTGGAGCAGATCAGAAACCTCCCTAGGAATAAATTGCCTGGGGAAGTTGTGGAATCTCCATCATTGGAGACTTTAAAGCGCAGGTTAGACACACACCTGTCAGGGATGGTTTAGACAACACTTAGTCCTGCTATGAGTGCAGGGGACTGGACTAGCTGCCCTCTTGCGGTCCCTGTGAGTCTATGCTTGTTTAGGCTGGGTCGGTAACATATTCTAAGGGCCCCGGTAACCTCTCTGCAGTCATTAAATCCATGACTGTTAGCGTCTCGCAAGGTAATGAATGGCACTGCCGCCTCGGCTTTTGAAGGGGTGCAGGTTTCCTAGGAGGCTGGCGCGGTCAGCGCTAGGTTGAGCCTTGTGCCACGTGTGCGATCAGGTAGGATTGTCGTGGTGTGTGTGCGTTCATGCGCGAGCAGAGCGCTAGGCTGGGGTCCCCCACTGAGGCCAGGGCTACACTAGCGCATTGCCAGCTGTGCCGGGGTGGAGCCGCTCAACTTAATAAAACCACCTCAACAAGCGGCGGTAGTGGCCTTAGTGCAGCGGTTGTCAAAGCGGGGCGGGGGGGCGCCAGGGCTGGCTTAGACTTGCTGGGGCCCGGGGCCGAAGCTGAAGTCTGAGCACCCCCGCCCAGGACTGACGTCCGCAGGCTTTAGCCTTTAATCTGGCAGTGGCGGATTAATGATTTTGCCGCCCCTAGGCCCTGAAATAATTGCCGCCTTGCCCCGACTCCACCCTTTTCCCGCTCCCATTCCAACCCCTTCCCCAAAGTCCCGCCCCCAACTCCGCCCCTATTGGATCCCTTCCCCAAATCCCCACCCTGGCCCCGCCTCTTCCCCCAGCACACCATGTTCCCACTCCTCCCCCCTCCCTCCCTGCCCCGCGAAACAGCTGTTTCGCGGCATAAGCGCTGGGAGGGAGGGGAGAGAAACAGGACGCGGCGACGAGCTGGAGCAGGGGAGCTTCTCCGTGGGTGCTCAAATTTGCCGGCCTAGGCCTAGACCTTAATACGCCACTGGTGTCGGGACTCAGATTACAGGCCCCTGCCTGGCACTGAACCCTTGGGTTTCGGCTTTGCCCCCCCCGCGCCACCACTGGGGGCTCAGGCTTCAGTCCCCCCTCCTGGGGTCCTGGAGTAATGTTTATTGTCAAAGGGGGGGTGTCACGGGGCAAAGCCCGGCCTTGGAGGTTTTTAGGGCACAGGCTGAGGCAGGTGTGGGCCTCCGGCTCACGAAAGGGCTGGTATTGGGCCGGGGCGAAGCAGCAGCGTGTGGGCTCATCTACATCTAAAATCCCCCTGCCCCCTCCGCCCCCCGAGCCCCATAGCTGTGCTGGCCTTACCCCCGGTCGGACAAATGCCTGTTGCCCTAGCGCCCATCATTTGGGGAGGTGCCGTTGCTACAGCAACATGGGGGGGACTTGGCCATCGCTTTAGGAAGCATCTACACGACAGCGCCCCTAGTGTAGACAGCGCCTGAGTTACAACTCAGCCAGTCCCTCCAGCTGTTCACCGTATGGTGGATTTACTCAGCTCGCGTGCAAGCAAGTGTACGAACGTGAGCCTAGTGGGGCCGTGCAAACGAGCCCACAGCCCTCGTGTTCAGTGTCTGTACAGCACCTAGCGCTGTGGGACCCTGCTCCAGCACTGGGGCTGCCGGGTAATCCTGCAAGACAAGTAATAACAATAACGATGCTCACAGGGATTGCAGCTGCACCCCCACTGCCCCCTTTTCGCAGAGACAGTCACATGAGGGGCGGGGCCTTGATCAACCCCGACCTGGCATTGTCTTGCCCAAACGGGTGGAGTTTATTTTGTGGGTGCACGTCCCTTGTTCACCCGAGCTCTGCCCCTTTTCCCCACGTCACGCGATTTCACTGAGACACCATCACATTACCAGCCCTGTGGGATTGTCCAAAGGCCCTGAGTCAAGCAGGTGCACAAGGCCCACGAGTGTTAGCATGGGAATTGCCGTAATGCACCATCCAACGGTCCAGCTCGCCCATCGCCAACCCAAGCAGCTGCTGAGGACGGTGTCAGATACGCCCCCAAGCGCCTGCTGGTGGAATTGCCTGGCCCACGCAGGAACGTTCGGTTGCTAAAAAGCCAACGGACCCGTTCGATAAAAGCAGAAAGTCTGTTCCTTGAATACGCCAGTTTATTTCCAATATATAGAACTGTACGGCGGCGAGGGCCAAACCAGGTGGGTTGGTTTTTTTTAGTTTTGCATATTCCATATATATGTCTGACCTTTTACAACACCTCAAGGAAAAACATGACACATGCAGGAAGGTTTTAAAAATTCAACACTGTTACAGCACTTGGTGGTTTTCTTCTGGGGTTTTTTTTTTTTAAACGAGCGAAACGTCTTAAAAAAATCCTTATAAATTCTTTGTAATATGTTACACATTTCAAGACGCTATTTACACAAAAAAGGAAAACAACAAAACTTTACAGCAATTATTTGCATAAAGTACGAGAACGATGCATCAACTGGAGTAAGGTTTTTTTTTTTGTTTTAATTTTATTTTTAAAATCCTCCCAAGGCCTCTCATTGGAATGGCTGCAGTTTGAAGCGGAAGACGCGGCGTGGCGTTATTTTGTAGCCCCAGCGCGGTAGAGGACAGCTGGGCGCTCGCTGCAGAGACAGTACCCCTGGGTCAGGAAGACCATCGCCGGGCACGGGGCTGCAGTTGGCCTTTTTTCTAAACACAGAGACGGGTGCATTGGATTTGGCGGGGGGAGGGGTGGTTTTAATTTCAAACTAAAAGGGAGCCACAATCTAGCAGCATGAAAACACAGTTTTACCATTTTCAAGAGGAAAAATATAAACCACTGCATAGGACGACAGACGTTTGCTTGCCTGGTAGAAAGTGGGACTTTCTGTGCATGGAATTAATACGCTGCCTGGCTCCAGTTACCTGGGACGAATGAGCTCACGCCAGCGTCGGCTCTCCTGACGCTGAGAAATGCAGCGTGCGACGGACTCAAAACTCTTCCATGGCACTATGTCTGTAGCGAGAGACAAGCTGCCAGGGCCAGCCAAATTCCAGTTTGTGTAAGATTAGCCCCACCTACCTGCAGCACCCTCGCCAGTTCCCATTGGCTCCCTTAACCTGAACCCTGCACCCGTTACAGCTGCTGCGGCCTGCCCCGACGGCGGCTGCATCGGTTGCGAAAGCGCTTTGAGACGCAAGGCCGTGACCGGTGCCCCCAGCTGGGCGGGTGGCACAAGCACTGGGACGTTGGCGGTGTGACGGAAAACAAAACACAAACGAGTTCCTGGGTGAAACCAGCAGGGGTGGGCGAGGGGAGGTTTGCAGGGTGCACACATTCCTGTCGCAGAGGTTTGAATGCTCCAGTCCTTGTGCATCCCAAGGGCGATGCAGAGCAAGTGTGCACGCTCCGGGCTCCGGCAAGCCCTGCATTCAAACCCAGTTCTTTCTGTGCTCTGGCCGCATCCGCTCTACCCAGGTGCGGGGCAAGGGGCAGCCAGTTAGTGCTGGGGAACCAGCTGGGCTGTGAGACGCAAACACGCCAGGCCTGTCCCTGGGCATGCGGGGGCCTGGGAGGAAGGGAGCTGGTAGGGCTGAAAGCCGGGCTGTGCAAGGTAGGGACTAGGATTAAACCGCCTGGGGCACTGGCACTGTTGCGTTCGCAGCCACACGGCACCGGGTCTGGAGCATTAACACTGGGCTGCCCACAACCCGGCTGGAAACAGGCTCGGGGCCGGATGGCGCGATGGGTTTACCCCGGGCCATTTCCCCGGTCGGCGCTGCTAGCAAGGGCCGGACTCGACAGCGGCCAAGACAGATCTAGTCTCAATCCCGTGAGCCGTGCGTTCTCCCAGCGTCGCTGCCATGGGCCCTGGGCCTAGTTACTCTCTGCAGTGCCACTTGTGTGTCCTGTGCACACCCACGCCGCTCGCTTGCCCCCCTCCCCGCCCTGCTTCTCAAAGGGGCTGCGACCTGCCTGGGGGTGTCACCTAACGCTCACGTCCCCAGCTGCCCACTCCACCTGCTAGCCAGGGGGCTGCCCAGCCAAAGATGCCCCCACGCTCCCCCTGGGAGTGCCCAAGTCCCACCGGGCGGCCTAACCTCAGGGGGCTTTGCACGGCTCAGCTGCACATGGGGTGGGTAGAACCACCAGCATCTACACGGGGGGGGGAGGGGAGCGAGGGGGGGGGGAAGCTTGGGGAATGGTGACAGGCACACCGGGGTGGTGGGTGTGGGGGGCAGAGCATGAGGCTGGGGGCGTGCAAGGAAAACTCCCATGCCTGGAGGGGAATTGGCCACTGGAAGCACTGAACCAGCCATGACCTGGGCCCCCTTCCTATGCTTCCCCAGCCCCTGTTCCTTCTCTTGCTTCTCCCCCCGTGGCTTTGAGGCTAGCAAACAACAGCACCTCCTCCCTGGCAGAGCGCAGGACCTGGCACGGCCTGGCACAGAGGAGGGGCTGGGGAACAAAGGGCCCCTTGGCACGAGGGACATTTCCCAGCATTTACGCAAGTGGATCCCGCACCTGGTACCAGCGGGCATGTGGTCACTGAGCACGTGCCAACGGCCCCAACACACACACACTCCTGCTCAGGTGCCAACGATGCCACCACACCTACATCTACCAATTACCCAACACTGAATCAGGCTGGACACAAGGGCACCGCAGGCACGTGCTCCATGGGGCACAGCCATAGCACACACGTGCACACACACACATGTGCAAATGGTGTACATGAACACACATGTGCAACTGGTGCACATGTACGCACTCACACAGGTGCAACTGGTGCACACGTGCACACACACTGGCGACTGGTGCACACGCATGTGCACACACACAGACCTGAATGGTGCATGTGCATACACATGCACACGCCAGTGTTACGAGCCAGTGGGAAAACACTCACGCTCTTGAGAAAAGCCCACGTGCGGGCGCTGTGTCTGCGCAGCCTCCTGTCTCCATTCCACAGCCGCCTCGCTCACCCTGGACTGACCCGGGGTGGGAGAACCGGCTTGGGAAAGGGGGGGCCTCTCGGGGGCGGGCGGGACTGGGGTGCCAGGGACCCTCTGTTCAAAGCCACCCAGCAGTTCCTTGCACACCAGGGGGCACTTTCTCTGAGCCGAGGGGGCAGGGGGAGGGGCACAGTGACGTGATGCCAGAGCTGGGGCAGGATTTCAGAGGCACCAGCTCCTGCTGGGAGGTTTGGGGGCTGGCAGCGGGGGGCTGGCAACAGTCTCATGGAAATCGGAGCATCATTCCCCTGCCCCCAACCCCCCGCGTCAGCAGGGAGCAGCCCTTGGCAGGAACCGTGGGATCCCCCACCAAGGGGGGGGGGCAGCGAGAGCCACGCACGCTCCCCCCGTGACATCTGGGGGACAGCGGAGTGGATCTGGCAGCCTCAGGGACCCCACAGCCACGCAGGGAGATGTGCTGGGGGGGGGCCAGGAGACCGGGGAGGGGTTGCCTGTCTTAGGCCAAGTGCTTCCTGTGGGTGCGCTGTGCCCGCCCATCCCAGCTGCGGGCTGGACCCAAAGGGCTGGGATCCCGGCTCTGTGGCGAGGCCGGGACGCTCCGAGCTGCGGACAATCCCCCACCCAGGCCTGGCCTGGCAACGTCAGGGGTGGGGGAGTCTTAAAAAGGAAGACAAATCAAACAGACTCACGATTACGTCCCCAAACCAAGGGAGGGTCGTTCAGTGAACGCCGCGCCCGAGCGCCAGCCAGGCAGCGCGGCCGGGGGCGTCTCCGGCAGCCTAGGGAGCCCCGTGAGAAAGGCCAAGGGACGTTCAAGGGGCAAGGCCGGCAAAAACCGGGCGAGTGGCTGCTGGCCCCTAGAGAGGGGACTTCAGCCTTCGCCACAAGAGGCACAGGGGGCGAGAGAGATGGGGGGGGAAGCAGAGACAGGCCTCGGGGGTTAGAGACAATGGTGGAAGCGGAAAGAAGCTGCGCGGGTGGGAGCCGGGCCCCGGTCGCCAGGGTTCCCCTCCGGGCCCTTGCTGTGCAGCTGCTCACCGGCGCCGCCCTGGTGGCTCAGGGCCGAGGACGAGGAGGGCCTGGCCTTGGTCGACTCCAGGCTGCTGAGGCCCGAGTCCTTGTTGTCTCTGTGCAGGTCCCTGCAGGAGGCGCCGGTGTCCGGGGGGCAGAGCTCGGGACCCACGGGGGGTCCCTGGCCCGGCGTCTGCTGCTCCTTCCACTCGTTGAAGTTGAGGTCCTTCAGGCCGCCGGGCACCACCACCGTATGGCGCCTCCAGGAGCTCTTCTTGCGCCGCGTCTCCGGGGAGTGGGGCTTGCGCAGGCGCACGGCCAGCATGTCGTCGGCCGAGCCGCGCAGACGCAGGCGGATCTGCTCCGTCAGCGAGGGCCTGGCCGGGGCCCCGCTGCCCCACGGCTCCCCACCGGCCCCCGGGGGCTGCAGGGACTCCTGGCTGCCCTTGGTGGACGACTCGCTGTCCGGACGGGGCCGCGCCAGCTTCCTGCGGGCCAGCGTGTCGCACTGGATGAGCCGGTGGGAGTTGAAGGAGGCCCGGGCGAGTTTCTCCTTCTCGCCGCTCTCCGCCTCGGGCCCCGGCCCGGCGCCCGGCCCCGCCCTTCCCAGCAGGAAGCTGCTCTCCGTGTCCGTCTCCACGTGGCTGAATTCGCTGCGCTCGTCGTCTGCCTCGTCACCTCGGCTCTCGGCCACCGACTGCACCTCCGAGCACAGGCTGCGGTCGATGGTGGACAGGGTGGAATAGCCCGAAACGATGGACCGGGCGTCCGGCGCTGGCTCCCTCGGTCCCGCCTGCTCCTCTGTGCTCGCTCGGCGGCTCGGAGCGTCGCGCGTTGGGCCTGGCTCTCCGGGGGCCACGCCGCACCCCGGCCCCTTGGCCTCTTCCTCCTCCGCGCCCCCACCCCTGGCCTCCTCGGCTCTGCCTTTGGTGGCTTCGTGCTCCGAGTCGTCGTCCGTGCTGCTCCCCAAACGCTTGGCCTCCCGCCGCTTCTTCCTCTTGCGGTTGACGGCGGCGATGAAGGAGATGGCGAGCAGCTCCTTGTTGTACTGATCCTTCCGGGGCGCCCCCGAGCCCTGCTGGAGAGAGAACCACCTGGCTTAGTGCCACTGCCCCGGTCCCTGCCACTCACGGCTCCTCCCCGGCCCCCGAGCCCAGGCAGCTTCGCACCGAGCGCTCAGGCCACCGACCTGGCCGCAGCCGCCCTGCCGCAGCAGTGCGTTCTGGGAAAATCGGGGGTGGCATCCAATCGTGCTGTGGTGCACTCTGGGAAATATTTAGGCCACTGTCCCAGAGTGGTGCAGTGCATTCTGGGGAAATGGAGGCTGCCATCTCTCAGGGCACAGGACTGCACGTGCCTTCCCACTCCTCCACGTCCCAGCCAGCCCGTGGAGCCAGCAGAACCACCAGGACGGACGCTAAGGAGAGCTCACAGGAAGGGGCCTGTTAGGAACCATGTCACGGGTCAGCATGAAACATATGTCAAGTGACCCAGAGTTCGAATTCTGGCTACTGCAGAGACATGCACAGCCCCTTGTCAGGATCAGGGCCCGGCTGGGCAGACCTGCTCGGAGAAACTGGCCAAGACCCTCCCTCCCCAAAAGGATCTAAATAGACAAGGGGGAGAGGGGAAACTGAGGCAGAGAGAGAGCAGTGACACACAACAGGCCGAGCCAGGAACAGAACTCAGTTGTCTTTGACTCTCAGGCCAGGGTCCTACCCACTGGGCCATGCCACCATCCTGTGACCTGCAAGGTCACCTTGAAGCTTTCTCCTGCCTCATCAGACCCAAGTAAACCCCTGGACCTCCCTTCCTCATACAGAGTTGGCAATCCCGCGAACCCGCCCGTCTGGCTGCTCTCGGGAGGACAGGACAGCACGGCCCAGGACTGAGGTGGGAAGGGCCACACAAAGGATTTATGGGTAAAACGCCGAATTTCCACCCTGCGTTTCCTGCCCCTTGCGCTGGGCCAGAGGCCGAGGCCCAGCAAAGCTGGAGATGTTAGCACACACAGGAACCACCCCCCAGACTTCAGAGAGTCCCTCACACGGGAGTCCTCACCTTCGATTTGGCAGAGCCGCTATTGGTTGAATCTGTAACGCAAAAGACAGAGCAGGGATTAGGGTGGGCGGGGGAGGTCTTTGCTAGCGGAGGGCGGGGAGCTAGGGGCGTGCGGGCATCACAGCAGAGGGACGTTTCTCAAGGGCATCCCCAAGCTCTCCCTCCACGTGTGGCTCTAATCAACGGCATGATCAGCATCCACGTTGCTCCAGCAACTGGCAGTGGGGCGCCCAGGTTGGGAAATTAACGAGGCCCAGGGGTAGCTGTCGGGAGGGGCGCCAGAACAGCGGAATTTGGGGCCCTTTGCAAAAAGTCCCCAAAGCCCTTGGTTTCGGGCCGGACCAAACGTTTCGATTTCTGACCATTTTTAAACATTTTTGATTTTTTTTTTTTCCAAAATGTCCTCAAATTTTATTTAAAGAAAAATCTCATTTGGAAGGGACAAATGGAAAGGATTCGTCAGATTTATTTTTCCGCCCTCAAAATGAACAATTTGGCAAAACTGACGCGAATTTGTCCAATGTTCTGGTGCTGCCGATGCCAGAAAAAAAGTTTCAACCACAAATTTTCACCCAGCTCCGGCCGGCCAAGCCGTGGAGGTTCATGCGCCTCAAGGCAGCGGCTGCCCCCAGACTGGGGGGGTGGGGGGAAGCGTTCTGGGGATCTCACGGGAGGAGCTTCCAGGAGGACAGCCTACAATGATCTCTGGGTCCCTCTGTCCATTTGTGTGCGACCCGCGCGCCCCGGTCACACAACCGCTGGGTTAATCACAGCACGGGGGAAAAGAACGGCCACCGCCACAGGGGAAAGAAAAGGAAACGAGAAAAAAAGACCCAGGCCCAGCTGGGAAACACCCAGTCGCCGGAGCCCCCTTCACCCACCCAGCAGCCGGACGGGTGCTGCCAGTGGCGCTGACGGACTGGAGCCACGAGCCCAGGACGGACGGACGGACGGGGGAAAAGGGGACAGTGGGAGAACACAGGACGAGTTACTCCGCTGGCACCTGGGTTTTCCCCTGGGGATGGGGAGGCCCCAGGCCGGGTTATGCAGCGCTCAAGCGCCCCACGGGGGGAGCTCTCCCCTCTGATGCTGGGGACGTGTCCACTGAGCTCGGCTTAGACCCAGAGGAGCCCGATCCCCATTTACACTAGAGCCCCTTTGCACCGATCCCCACGGCCACACACGTATCACCGACCCTCCGTGCGGTTCAGACTCACGGCCTGCAGGGTCAAGGCACAAGCTCCTACCGCTGGCGCTAAAGAAGGGGTCTCCTACAGCTGGGAGCAGCCACCAGGGGCGATGCCCGCCCCCCATACTACAGCAGGGAGATTTTTAGCAGGGGGACCACTGGCAGATCCCTGGTGGTGGAAACTCCATCTGAAGTCAGGGAGCGACGCCCATTCCCAGCAGCCAGGGACCCCCGGGGCCGTGTGCGGCGAAGGGCCAACGCGGCTCAGTATTGCCCACGGGTTGCCTGCTCCGAGCCCAAGCCCAGGTCTCTCGCTGCGCCGGAGGAGGGGCAAGCCCCAAGGAATGCACAGGCGAGGGCCGCGGGGGGACTGTGTGTTAATCTGCAATGTCTCGCAAGCAGGTTAAAGGGGGGGTGGGGGAGAGGATGCACCCACCGCGCCAGCCCCCACTCCACCACACTGAGAAGCACAAGGACAAACACAATCACCCACCCACCCCCGGCGGAGGGATGGGACTCGCGGCTGGTGCTTATGAGAGGGGGGGCCAGGAGGGGAACGCTGACCCCTGGGAGGATCTGGAATCCCAGCCCCCGAACCTGCAGCCAGCCACCACTGGGAAGAGCCTGCTGTGAACCATGGGGGCTGGCGGGTCAGCGTGGGCTCTTTGGGGGGTGCAGGGGTCGTGTGGGGCTGGGGGGCACAGCCGGGAGGGGGCTGGGCTGAGTGGCCTCTGGAAAGGCTCAGAGAGGGGAGAGGCCCAGGGTTGAAGGGGCGTCTCTGCACCCTGGACAGGCAGAGGGATGGGGGTCTCCCAAGGGCCCACCCATGACCTCAGCACCCTGGGGTGGGTGGCACCAGCTCATCTGACTCCAGAGGAATCCCCCGCACCCACTCACATGGCCAGGCTCGCGCTCCTGGCATTCACAGAACCCGGCTGGCAGGGCTCCCCCTGCACCCAGCTACGGCTCGGGTGAGCTGATGCCAAGCACCGGGGACATGGGCACCAGGACCAGCAGGCCTCTGCCCCGATGCTGTGGGTGCTCTCGGGTGGGCAGGGTGGCAGAGGGGCAAGGGGCTCCCCTGTGCTCCCTCACAGAGCAATGCCCAGAGAAAACTGCATGTCAGCGGCAGGGCCCCCGTGTAGCCAAAGCTGCGGGTGAATGTGTGTGTGGGTGGGGGGGGGGGGGGGGTGGGTCCAGATCATTCATCCTCTGACTATAATGGTGGTGCAAGAGGGATGAACCACACCAGGGGGTGTCAAGCTGGGGGTCGTGACCTTCCGGGGGGGCAAAGGGGTACCAGGGGGCATGCCTCCCTGCCCATGGGTGACGTGTGCTGCGGCCAGCGCAGTGGGATAGGGGCGGGGGGCGCTCTTCCCGGGGGGATGGCGCAGGGCTGCGGCTCCCCTCCTGCACCCGCTCTCGCACGATCGCCCGACGGAATTAGTGCATGAGCAATGCACCCAAGCAGCAGCACTGTACCCGCTCTAGAGCTCCAGGAGATCCGCTGGAGGAGGAGGAAGAGGAGGAGGAGGAGGGAGAAGAAGACAGCAGAGAGACGTTTAAGAAAGAGCATAAAGAATCAATGTCATTTCAAAGCGGCTGCGCTCCGTACGCGCAGCTCGAGCCGGGGGAGAGGGACCAGGCACCGGACAGAGGCAGACCCGTGGCAGAGCTGCTGGGGTTGGCTGGCTAGTGAGGGAACAACGGGCAGCCCTGTGGTTTGAAGGACTGTTCCGCGGGGGGCTCAGGGACAGCGGCTATCAGGGAGTATACGCAGGAGAGGACCTGGGGAACTCACTGACACTAGACCAGCACTTCCCAGCAGTAACACTAGGGGGAGCCCAACAGCAGTTGGTAACCAGCCCGTGGCCAGTGATTGGCTCCTTGTTGTTCCTCGGTGCCAGCCGTTCCATCACACCCAATCCTCAGCAGTGGGCGTGGCCTGAGGAAATGCCCCTCCTCCTGCCCGGGAAGGCTTGTGCCCGCTGCTAGACGGGCAGCTCTGCTGTAGGGACTGGCCGGGCAGCTCCTGGGTCACTTAGGGCAGGTGGGAGCCCCGGTCCCCAGCTATCCTGCGGGGAGGGGTGTGCCCAGGGAGGAGGCTGCTGGGGGTGCCCAGGGAGGAGGCTCCCGCAGGGGGGATCCCCAGCTTGCCCAGCGGGGGGGTGCCTGATGGGGAGAGCCCTGGCCTGCCCCAGGAGCAGTGGCCCAGTAACTCTTGTGGAGGTGGATTGCCTGTGAGGTCACTCCTCCTCCGGTGCTGCCGGCTGAGCCCTGACGGCCCCACAACTGGAGCCTTCCCCTTTGCTCCCCCTGGTCGTGCCCCCTCACCTGAGGCGTCCCCTGGCACCACCGTCCTCCCGATGTTGGGGAGCAGGTACTCGATGTTCGGCACCGACTGCGCCTCCTTCTCGTCCACAGGGGTCTGGAACGGCAGCGGGGGGAGAGTGGTGAGCGGAGGAGCCCCTGGGCCTAGCCCCCTGACTCCCTTCCGCTCTGTCTGCCGAGTGCCCCCTGCCCTGCCAGCAGGGCGGCAGTGCTGGACAGAGCCCCCCAGGGGGATCTGCTCACCCTCGCAGGGTCCTTCCCCGGGGGCTCAGCGTTCTGGCCTCGGGCAGAGCGGGGCACTGTTCACACACAGGGAACCAGCTGGCCTCCCCCCACCGGGGTCTCCAGCAGGGTGCAGGAGAGAGGCTGCCCCCAGGCTGGCGTCGTGAAGACCATGCATGCAGAGCTCAGGGGGTGCGATCGGGGACCGGCTGTCCCCAGAGGACAGCCGCTCTCCCACGGCTGGGATAGGTGCCCACCGGCGGCCAGGGAGCCAACCCCCCGCTCCTCCCGCCCGGGACTCACCTTCTCCCCCTTGTCCTCCTTGTCACTGAAGAACCAGTCCGACTGTGGAAGCAAGGAGAGGGGACGAGGGTCAGAGCACGGCAGGACTGCAGTACAACATCTCAGGGGGGACAGAGGGGGGCAAGGGAGGCGAGGAGGGGGCGGTGACCAGCTCCAGGTCGCCCGGCTGCTGCCAGATTCATTCCTGCATCGCCCCCGCCTGGCACGGAGATTCGAATGCACGAGTCCCAGTCTGTCTCTGCAGGCCTCTCCGCCCCACAGCCTGGCACCCCTCCCCCCCGACTCCAGCCTGGCCCACAGCCCTGGGCACCCACCCCCTGCTGTCTGACCCTACACACCCAGCACCGCACTGGGAGCTGATCCCGACTGTGCAGAAAAGTCCAACCCCGACCCACTGACGTTCGACTCCCAAGGAGGGAAGTTTCCCTTCAGCCTGGTAAGACGGGCAAAGAACAGGGGGAGCAGGGCACCGGGGGCCCACCCTGCCCAGGGAGAGCAGGGCACCAGGGGCCCAGCCTGCTCAGTAAAGTGCTGGAGAGTGCAGGCGGGGGAAGGGCAGCAGGGGCCCGTCCTGCCCAGCAGAGCGTGCGGGGAGCAGGGCAGCAGGGGCCCATCCTGCCCAGTGAAGCATGGGGCTAAGCAAGGGGCCACCTGTCACTTACGTGCTGGATGAGGGTCTCCACGATTTTGTAGCGGTCTGGCATGTGCGTCACCATGTCCGTCATGTTGTCCTCGGACGTGCGGACCAGCGTGGGGCCGAAGACCAGGGCCAGGTTCCGGGGCTCCATCTACAAACAGGGCAGGGGGTTACAGTCTCGGCAGCCAGCCCCACTCCTGGGTCCCAGGAAACCCCATCCCAGGGGGGCTCTCCCCCCCCACAGCCTGCGCCCGTGGGGCCCCCTCTGGGATCGGACAGTCTCATGCCAAGGCCCTGGGCTGTAAGCTCCCAGTGATAAAATCACATCAATCCCCAGCCTGGGGGAAGGGCTGGCAAACACCCTGTCCTACCATCGGCCCCGCTGCAACCCATCCCACCTGCTCTCGTCACACCCATGTTAACCAATTAACTAATGAACTCACAGTCCCTTTCCCAGCACTGGTGGGTTAGGGTGATCATCCCCTTCTTACAGATGGGGAAACTGAGGCAGTGACCAACACTGTCACAGCCAGGGACAGAACCCAGCAGTCCTCACTCCAGTTGCCTGCTCTAACCATTAGAGAACGCTGCCTCCTTCTCCACTTGGCTTTTGAGCCTTTCTTCCCGGTCCAGGAAAGGAGGATATCCCAGCCGGCAGGGCTCTAGCCTCAATCCCCTTCTCCACCACAGACTTCCCAGGTGACCTTGGGCAAGTTACTTAGGGCACATTTACGTCTGGAGCTGGAGGCGGGACCCCCTGCTTGGGCAGACACACCCACACTAGCTCTGATCACGGCAGACGTGTCGTGGCAGCCGCACAAGCAGTGAGAGGGGCTGGCCGCCCTGCGTGCGATCCCAGCTGAGACCCCCAGATACCCGTTCGGTACCAACACACAGCACTGCTCAGGGACTCAGCTCTAGGTTTTCACGTCCACGCCATGCTGGGGGCCTGGGGCACAGAACACTGGGGCCCTGGAGAGCACCAGGCGTCCCACACACAGAGAATCCGCAGCCCTGGGGACCCCGGGCTCTCTAGCAGGGTGCGGGGGCTGGCTGGGTGGGGGCCAGGCGGGGGCAATGGTACCTTGTTCTTCTCAGAGTGGTCCGCGATGGTCTTCAGGTGCCCCACCAGGAACTTGAGCGTCTCGTAGTATTGCCCCGGCAGGTCCCGGATCTGGTGGAGGCGCAGAAGCAGCGTGAATGCCTGGCCAGCCACAGAGAGGGACGGGGACCTTCCCTCCCCATCCCAGCCTCACTCCTTCCCCGTTAGGACCCTCCTCACCCCGGATCGGCCCCTCCGTTCTTCCTCTGCCCCCCACTGCACACACCTCCACTTTTCCAGGCCAAAAGAGGGAGCAAGACGGGGGCTCTGCCCCCACCCCCAGCCTCAGGACAGGGCTGGGATCCCCTTACACACTGGGCAGGCCAAGCCTACCAGACAGACTGGAAAGGGAGGGAGAGTCGTTCCTGGGACGGGGCTGACACCTGCTCCCTGCCCACGGGCCGGAGGCTTGGGGGCTCGGAGGGAGACCCCTGCTTGAGGGCTGTGGCCAGTGGACCTGCGGAGGGTTCCCCACGCCCCCGAGGGACCCACAGCCTCGAGGGAAGGGCCCCATACCAGTTTCCGCAACGTCTTCATCCTCTCGCTGGCATCTTCTATCCGGTTGGCTTCGATGAAGTCGTTGTACTTATCTGAAAGCCAGACAGCAGAGAGAGGCCAGGTTCAATGGCCCTGCCAAGCACGGCCCTTGTGGAGCGCACCAGGGCAGTGCCCGCTGGACCAGGGCTGGGAGTGAAGCCCTGCTAGAGATGCTGCCGAGGGGCAGAGAAGAGAGGAGCCATCAGGCCAGGACGCAGGCGGCATTCAGCTGGGGCACGGGGGCAAGGAAGGACATGGGGCAGCGAGGGGGCTCTGGGTGACAGTACCCGGAAGGCTCTGAACAGACAGATTGAGTGTGGTGCTCAGGGAGTGCTGGCAGCAGAGGGCACATGGGTAATGCAGAGACAGCGGGTGAATGGGGTAGTCTATAGCTAGGGAACTCTGGGGGATGCTGCGTGGCCACGGGGTTCCCAGGGCAGATCACCAGGCAGCGAGCAGAGCAGTGTGCCAATGAAGGGGTCACACGTCCAGTAGGGAGGTGGGGGTGAGAGGAGGGGCTCCAAGTGGGGTTTAGTCACATCAGCGCAGCAAGAGAAAGAGCTCTCTCCAGCTGTGTGCGCACAAATGTGTGTGAGACCTGTGGATCTGTGTGTGTGTGTGTCCCCTCCAGCTGTGTGTGTGTGTGTTCTCCGGCTGTATGTGTGTGTGCACAAGTGTGTGTGTGTGAGACATCTGGATCCGTGTGTGTGTCTTCCGGCTATGTGTGTGCGCCCATGTGTCCCCTCCGACTGTGCATGCGTCTGAGAGAGAGATTGAGAATGAATCATAGGACTGGAAGGGCCCTCGAGAGGTCATCTAGTCCAGTCCCCTGCACTCATGGCAGGACTAAGTATTATCTAGACCATCCCTGACAGGTGTTTGTCCAACCTGCTCTTAAAAATCCCCAATGATGGAGATTCCACAACCTCCCCAGGCAATTTAGTCCAGTGCTTAACCACCCTGACAGGAAGTTTTTCCTAATGTCCAACCTAAACCCCCCTTGCTGCAATTTAAGTCCATTGCTTCTTGTCCTGTCCTCAGAGGTTAAGAAGAACAATTCTTCTCCCTCCTCCTTGTAACAACCTTTTAGATACATGAAAACTGTTACACGTCCCCTCTCAGTCTTCTCTTTTCCAGACTAAACAAACGCAATTTTTTCAATCTTTCCTCATAGGTCATGTTTTCTAGACCTTTAATCATTTTTGTTGCTGTTTTCTGGACTTTCTCCAATTTGTCCACATCTTTCCTGAAATGTGGCACCCAGAACTGGACACAACACTCCAGTCGAGGCCTAATCAGCATGGAGTAGAGTGGAAGAATTACTTCTCGTGTTTTGCTTACAACACTCCTGCTAATATAGCCCAGAATGATGTTTGCTTTTTTTTGCAACAGCGTTACACTGTTGACTCATATTTATTTAGCTTGTGATCCACTACGACCCCCAGATCCCTTTCCGCTGTCCTCCTTCCTAGGCAGTCATTGCCCATTTTGGGTGTGTGCAACTGATTGTTCCTTCCTAAGTGGAGTACTTTGCATTTGCCCTTATTGAATTTAATCATTTCTCTGGCTGTGCATGCGTGTGTGTGTGTCCTCCAGCTGTGTGTATGTGCGTGTGTGAGACCAGTGGATCTGTGCGGGCGCGTGTGTCGTCTGCCTGTGTGTGCTGGGGGGTAGGGTTATACCCCAGACTCACCGTCTGTGAACAGGGGCTCCGGGAGCTTCCGGAAGAAGGATTTCAACAGACTGCTGATGACGTTCAGGTCCTGCCATCTCTGTGTGGGGAGAGGAGGCGGTGCTTAGGGGGAGGCTGCCTGGGGTGGGAAGGCCGAGAGCGGGCAGGCCAGTGGGGTGCCCAGTCACTGCTGGGGGGAACCTCAGAGCCCAAGGCCTGGGACAGCCACAGGGGTCTCACCGCTGGCATCAAGTTAACCAGCCCCTCTGCCACATTGGGCGAGAGCAACAACTAGCAATGCCCGCCCAGGAGAGGGCGCCGGGGAGGCTCCTGGTCACCTCCAGGACAGCAGGAGCCAGGGGCCAAGGGCCGCCTGCAGTGAGGAGTGTAACTCTTCTGGCCGTGCCAGCCCCGCGGGAGGCGGAGCGGGCGAGCCGGGCGTAAGTGGCCCCGGCACCCATCAGCGGGCGCGCCCCACAAGTGTCGCCGCCCCCCTTGGAAAAGGAGCTAACAGGAAGATGCGAGGCAAAGCGTGTCCCTGCCCCACACACCCCACCCTGGGTTAATTCCCATTCCTGCCCCCCAGGGCGCTTGGCAGATGAAAGCTGCTCTGTGCATGCTGGGTGTTATTACAGGGCAGAGTCACCGGGACTAGCCGGCCGGGCCACTAGGGGGCGGTGCTGCTCGGCACAATGTAACAGCTGGCAGCTACAGCCTGATGGTTTGTGGCACTGGCACGGGGGGCTGGGGCCACGCCAGGCTCTCGCCCAGGGGCTGCTCTGCCCACAGGCAAACCTGGCAGCCTCGGGCAGCCGGGTCAGTGGAGCTGACCCCGCTCGCCAGGTCACAATGCTGCTCCCTCAGGTTTGGCCTGCCCTCCCCTCCGTCCTGACGGACGGGCAGCCGGGCCAATCCTGAGCGACTGGCCCCTGTACTTTCCCTCCCCAGTTCTGGGGGCGGCACACGGGGGTTTTGCCGAGGGAGGCACCTCGTCCTGCAGGTTGATCTCGGTGCTTCCCTTGTTGAGCTGCTCCTGCAGGCTGGACACCACGGCGTTGTTCCCGGGCACGCGGTAGATGCCCATGTACTCCAGCCCCTTGTCCTCCACCACCTTGCAGCAGGCCTCCACGATCAGCGGGACGTTCTGCGGGGAACAGACATGGCCTGAAGGAGCTGAGACCACAGGAAGGATCCACTGTTCAGTGTGTGCGGGAGAGGGGGGTCAGAGATGGGCACAGCTGGAATGGCAGATGCCAGATGTGAAAGGGGTGGGGGGGGTCAGCGATGGGCACAGCTGGAGTGGCAGCTGCCAGATGTTAAGGGGAGATCAGCGATGGGCACAGCTGGAATGGCAGCTGCCAGATGTGAAAGGGGGGGGGATCAGAGATGGGCACAGCTGGAGTGGCAGCTGCCAGATGTTAAGGGGAGATCAGCGATGGGCACAGCTGGAATGGCAGCTGCCAGATGTGAAAGGGGGGGGATCAGAGATGGGCACAGCTGGAGTGGCAGCTGC